AGCGCCGGACCATGCAGGACAGCCAGGGCCGCCGGGAGACGACAGTGACCCGCCGGAGGGGGGACCAGGCCTTCATCACCACCACCAAGGAGGATGGGCAGAGCAAGGACTACCGGGAGGAGGTGGTCAACATGGATGACCGTGAGTGGGGTGCTGAGGAGGGCGAGGGGAGTGGGCTGGGTCCTCTCTGAGTGAGCTCTCCCTGCTCTCCCAGGAGAGCTGGCGCAGTTCGCAGGCACGTGGCCACGGCAAGATGAGCTCCGCGCTCCAAACCTGAGTGACCCTTCGTCTGCACTGGGCAGCTTCTTCCGACGCTGGTTCTCAAGCTGGTAGCTGTACCTCCCCAGCTGAGCACCCCGTATGTGTGATGGGTGTGGGGTGGGGGGACCCCAGGGCTTCCTAGGGTCGTGGGCACAGATGCCGGCTTGAGGGCTGGGGCTGCTGGCTCCATCCAGGGCGGGTGGTGGGCAGCAGCCTCTTCTCACCACCTGTTTTTGTTGCAGATGGGTCAGATCCTGCTGGGAGCTGGTGCCCAGGCTGGGGGCTTCCCGCCTTCTGGGGCACTGCGGAGCTGCAGAGACCCCCATGGGGGCTGAGTGTGTGCGTGCGTGTGTACAGAGCAATAAAGTCTATTTATGCTAACGGTGTCCTGCCAGGCTCCTTTGGGCTGGAACCTCCCCAGTTCAGAGGCAGGGACACCCACGGGTGCCAGGGTGGCTCCTGGGGGCTGCCCCATGGGTGCAGGCACCTGCCGAGCTCCTCTGCCCTGGCGCCGTGCCCTCACTGCTCCCTGCCCACCTCCCTCTCCCGTTTCCCTGCCTGCCCAGTGCTGTGCTAACACCTCCCCTGGGCTGTTCTCAAGGGCCTGTCCTGGGAGCCTTTCCAAGGCCTCTTCATTAGCGCTGCCTGCGGTTGCAGCTTGGGCAGGGATCTGGCAGGGAAAAAGGGGGGAGCTCCCTGGAAGGGAGACACCTGTGCCAGCTCACCTGGAGCAAGGTCTTGGTTCCCCGTGGCCACTCGGGGATCCTCGGGGGGCTCCCGCCAGGTCTGGTCCTACTGGGGGACACCGTCGTCACAAGGCGCTGCTGTCCCCGGCCCCGTGCGGGACTCTGGTCCCTGCCAGGCGTCTCCCTGCGGTGCGGTCCTGATTGGTTTAAAGTCTGCGTGTTATCACCCACCCCAGCCCCGGGGCTCATAAAATCGCTCCGGGACGGAGACACTGACACCGCTGCTGCCGCTGCCCGTTCCCAGCCGGCCCCATGGGCACCACTTCCTTCTTGAAGAGGGCCCAGGCTCTACTCCGCATCCGGAACCAGCTGGTGCGGGAGTGCCTGGCTGAGCTGCTGGCCGTCTTCGTGCTCATCGTGAGCGGGGCACATGGGTGGGCACGGGCTGACCATGGGGTGGATGCAGGCACTGGGGGTCCCAGGGCTTCCCTGCCCATCTCTTGCCAAGGGTGAGGGGGGGTTTTGGGCTGCGCCATGCTTGCCAAGTGACTTGGCACTGCCTGGCCTCCTACTTGGACTCTGTTCCTGTGGCATTGTACACCCTCCGCCACAGTGGCTCTGGCGCAATAAAGGCATGGGTGCTGCTGCGTGGCACCCGAGGGAGCAGCGCTGGGCAGCATGTGCCCTGATGCCTCCCACCCTGAAGCGGGCAAAGGGGCTCTGGAGCCGTGCTTGGCATTTCGGCTGCATCCCGTGGCGGCACATGGTGACACCACGACCGCACTGGCGACACCCCTTCCCTGCCGTCTCCCCAGGGAAGCACGTTACTTAATTGCTGATAATTTGTTCACTTTGCTGTCAAAACCACGAGCGAGACCAGTAGCCACCTCCCTGCCTGTCCCCGTCCGGCACCCAAAGCTGGAGCCGGAGCGGGTGGTGGAGCAAAACCACGGAGATAGCGCAGGCAGAGGCACTTGCACAGCAGCCCTTGCCTCGCTGCCCTTCTGCCGCCCAGGATCGGAGCTAATCCTGCCAG